TGGAATTTGGGTTGTGCAGGCGAGGAAAGATTTGGATTCCAGCGGCTAAATTTAACGAATTCTGCAAACGTAAATTTGATAAACGTAGGTTACTATTTTTTGCTGTTTTCGTCGGCTGTATATAGGTTAATTATTCTGTGGAGTTGGATGATTATCATAATTGTAGATCTCTTTGTGATTTTCCGGAACCTTGGCTTTTCACAACCATGTTTCATCATGCACGAGTTGGCCATGATTCTTTGATTAGATAAAGGAGACAGTTGAATTTATTTGCCATGCTGTGGTGTTTTAATCGATTTCATTCTTATCACAAACTTAAATACAAATATCTGGGAAATAACTTGGTACAGTCTTTCAGTTGTGTTAAAGTGTATACGGCCTGTTTTCGTACTAAGTGACGTTTTTGATAAACAAATCACGGCTCAAAGGAGAGAAGTCTTTGTCAGCGGAGATGGAAATTGTTTTTACCGAGCTGTTGCTTTTAGGAGGAATGAAACAGGCTCTGAGAAACGCGAGGAGATCAGCTGCGGCTCTTCGCTATTTTCAAATACAAAAACAGTCACGGTTTCTTCAGCTCTAAAATTTTCTACAATGGTGTCTTCGGCTGATCTAACTGACTAATCATGGTCGACTGTAATTGCACAATTCCTTTCAATGCTACGCTCAGTAGTTAAGGCATCCCACGGAATCGCCTCCACTGAAATTGAGCCGCTGCTTAATTCTTTAAATTGAACATAAGACTGGCAATTGTGATTAAGGTTTGCAAAGAAAACTTCGATTTTTTCCTCTGCATTGTGGCTTGTTTAACTTGATAAATTAGGAAAATGAACTGATCGCTGAAGCGCTTGGGGATGATAAGTAATATTTTCTTTTGTGTTCTTTTTTAGGTATGGAAGTTCCTCGAGGCAAGGCAGATCGAGATCGTGAACAAGACAGCTCTCCAGGTTTGAAAACACTGAATATGAACATTAGCACTATTCTACAATGAAATCTTTCATGCTTAGAGTAGAGCTACTACATATTTGCGAGTTTACTGTAAATATTGATCATGACCTAAATTTTGTTTGAAAGTAAAAGAAGATGAAAAACGAAGAGGAAAAAAAAAGAACCTTAATCATGCTGCAAATGTTGCGTGGCTTTCAGAGCTGTTAGTTAAAGTCTCACCGGAATAAACTGAGGGCTAGTCTGCCATCATTAGGTAGATACTTTCACCTCATTTTGCTTAAAGTGATGCATCATTAGCCAGTGACAGGGTTATACCACATTCGAAAAAAAGCTTAAACATGTTTCAAAGCTGTTTTGTCAAACACAGTTTAAAATATTCAGTTTCTTCAAAGGAGCTGCTTAAGCCAATGTTTCTGATTTCCAATCAGTTAAGCCCGGTCTAAACGAAGTTTATTTTGCGACACAAACTTTCTCTGTTACCACTAGAATATAGAAAGGTATTGAAAGACTTGGTACTTATCTGTAATGGTAATCGGCCGGACTGAGTAAATCCGAGTTCTCGCGGCTCTGTGACCTGATACCGAAATTACAACGCAAAGAGGAGGCTCGGTGCGACGTCGCTCTCATCGGTCAACCAGAAAGTGTCTTCACGACTTTTTTAGTCTCAAAGTGTTCGGAACATATATGCAAGTTCTTGATGGACGTGAACTCCTTATCAGCGCGACGACAGAAGGCGCTTCCTTTCTTTCTTAGATTCTCTTCGCCTGGAAACTCGGAAAAGTTGAGGAATACAAAAGAATGCTTATCGCCATATCACTGTCTAAAAATTCCTCTTCAGACCTGTTTGATCTGTTAGAATTGTCTTTAGTCGTCTTATTATAGATATTTTAATACATCAAGCCTTTGTCCTTCTCTGCAAGTTCAGGAGGGAGACTGGTGTACATTATTACAGAAGAAATGATCAAGCAACTGTGTGAGACTAGTGTAAACTGGAGAAGAATAACAACATGCCTTGGAATCCCCGACCACAGAAACCCAAGCACCAGCTGTGAAATGATCATTTTGCGAAGTAGCAGTCGTGGCGAAATTATCAGAGTTTATATGGGAACATTTACGACCGCTCTTAGGATTAAAAAAATACAGTCAAATTCTCAGTAAAAATACTTCGCTTTTCTTCCACAGTGGATCGCTTGTTATCTGACCGCTTGCTATGTTTTCTAGGTTTACTACACAAGAACGGCTTGTCTAATGTAGCAAACCTAGAAATGGATAACTTGCTAAAATGGGTTCTTTTAAAAATAGCAAGCGGTCAGATAACAAGCGCTGCACTGTCATGTTACAGGTAGTCTCAACACCAATTGATCTCTAAGAGTGATTAATGACCATTTTCTCCTATCAGTATCCCCTCTAAAACAAACATTAAGATCATGAGAATAAAGGAAATGATCACGAACTAAAGAGGCTCTTGGTTGTTAAACAAATTCTCTTTGTCAGCACCATAGGATATGCATAGAGAACAGTACGGAAAAAAAGTATGCTGATGTTAGGATGCAAAGGGTTAAAACACTTGAATAATGTAAAAATTCCAAGACATCTTCATCATTAGGTTTAAAATCATCGCCAAGGCACTTGTCCAATGCCTCTCTATCTTCTGTAGTTACAAATTGGCTAAGTCTTCATATCAACGTCTCTGAAGTGATAACTTCATCCCCATAAAGATACAAGGCCACAAAAAGATGTAACAAATTTACTAGGAAGTAATTTGCCCATTGGTAACCATATAGCAGAACCTAGGCAATGGCTTCCCACTGTAGTTTCTGCATGTCATGCTCAATAAATGGGACTTTTTAATTGTTTCCAATCATCAGTGATGTGAAGCACTTTTGCCAAAGGCATGCTAAAACATTTAGAAGAACCTTGTTGCCTTCTCCCTTCTCTTCTCTACCAGCAGTGGCTATGTTTAGGTTATGGTGCTTCTTGGAATGCAGAAGGAGGGGGGAACAAAACATTTGTTAACACTAATCCTCAAACTGCGACGGGCGATTTTTAATAAATTGTTTCACTACAATATCAATCTCCTATGTAGAAAGCTTAACGGCCGATGATAAGGCATCACCCAAAGGCTGGTTTTCTTTTACAACGGAGTCGGAGTCGGAGTCGACTCCGATATTCAGTTTTCACTCGAACAGAAGTGCTCTTACCACTTCGACTCCGTCATTAGTGAAAACCAGCCTTAAACAAATTGGAGAGAAGGATATCCCGAAATGATTAATTCTTTTTTTCTATAGTTTAGTAATAAACTGTGGGCAAGGACCGGAAGAGCATTTGCAATAAAATTCATCCAAGGTCAAACTTAGTGCAATCCATCGAGCAACATGTACATTTCGTTAGTTTCCAATCAATTTGGCCATTTGTTAAATAAAAACATTATTTACATTCAATTGTACGGATATTTGAATAAGAAAAAAAAGTGGAAAGCTAAATGCAAAAGAGAATCTCTATGAAGAAAAGAACTTTTTGTGTATTTATGATTGCTAGATTATTTCTCTTTTCTTCTCACGAACGCCATTTTTTCCTTTTTCATATTGGAGGGTAGGCGAAAATTTGCAAAATACACAAAAGTTGAAACCCAACGACAAAGCTGGAAGGGGAGAGACTTACAGAAATCTTGGCATTGTCCATCAAAATTCAAGCGATTTTCATGAGGCCATTGAGTACCATGAGTGCCATCTGCAAACTACAAAAGAAGGGGGGGATAAAGCTGGACAAGAACGGGCTTATGGAAATCTTGGCAATGACTTTAAAGGCTTAGACGATTTTCATAAGGCAATCGAGTGCTATGAATGTCATCCACAAACTGCAAGAGAATTGGGAGGCAAAGCTAGAGAAGGACGGGCTTATGGAAAACTTGGCATTTCCTATGAGAGTTTACGCGATTATCATAAGGCAGTCGAGAACCATGAGCGTCATCTACAAATTGCAAAAGAAGTGGGAGACAAAGCTGGAGAAGGACGGGCTTATGGAAATCTTGGCAATGCCTATCAGATGTTAGGCGATTTTCATAAGGCTATCAGTTACCACGAGCGTCATCTACAAATTGCAAAAGAAGTGGGAGACAAAGCTGGAGAAGGACGGGCTTATGGAAATCTTGGCAATGCCTATCATAGCTTAGGCGATTTTCATAAGGCTATCAGTTACCACGAGCGTCATCTACAAATTGCAAAAGAAGTGGGAGACAAAGCTGGAGAAGGACGGGCTTATGGAAATCTTGGCAATGCCTATCATAGCTTAGGCGATTTTCATAAGGCTATCAGTTACCACGAGCGTCATCTACAAATTGCAAAAGAAGTGGGAGACAAAGCTGGAGAAGGACGGGCTTATGGAAATCTTGGCAATGCCTATCATAGCTTAGGCGATTTTCATAAGGCTATCAGTTACCACGAGCGTCATCTACAAATTGCAAAAGAAGTGGGAGACAAAGCTGGAGAAGGAGGGGCTTATGGAAATCTTGGCAATGCCTATCAGAGCTTAGGCGATTTTCATAAGGCTATCAGTTACCACGAGCGTCATCTACAAATTGCAAAAGAAGTGGGAGACAAAGCTGGAGAAGGACGGGCTTATGGAAATCTTGGCAATGCCTATCAGATGTTAGGCGATTTTCATAAGGCTATCAGTTACCACGAGCGTCATCTACAAATTGCAAAAGAAGTGGGAGACAAAGCTGGAGAAGGACGGGCTTATGGAAATCTTGGCAATGCCTATCAGATGCTAGGCGATTTTCATAAGGCTATCAGTTACCACGAGCGTCATCTACAAATTGCAAAAGAAGTGGGAGACAAAGCTGGAGAAGGACGGGCTTATGGAAATCTTGGCAATGCCTATGCCTATAAGCTTAGGCGATTTTCATAAGGCTATCAGTTACCACGAGCGTCATCTACAAATTGCAAAAGAAGTGGGAGACAAAGCTGGAGAAGGACGGGCTTATGGAAATCTTGGCAATGCCTATCAGATGTTAGGCGATTTTCATAAGGCTATCAGTTACCACGAGCGTCATCTACAAATTGCAAAAGAAGTGGGAGACAAAGCTGGAGAAGGACGGGCTTATGGAAATCTTGGCAATGCCTATCAGATGTTAGGCGATTTTCATAAGGCTATCAGTTACCACGAGCGTCATCTACAAATTGCAAAAGAAGTGGGAGACAAAGCTGGAGAAGGACGGGCTTATGGAAATCTTGGCAATGCCTATCATAGCTTAGGCGATTTTCATAAGGCTATCAGTTACCACGAGCGTCATCTACAAATTGCAAAAGAAGTGGGAGACAAAGCTGGAGAAGGACGGGCTTATGGAAATCTTGGCAATGCCTATCAGATGTTAGGCGATTTTCATAAGGCTATCAGTTACCACGAGCGTCATCTACAAATTGCAAAAGAAGTGACAAAGCTGGAGAAGGACGGGCTTATGGAAATCTTGGCAATGCCTATCATGGCTTAGGCGATTTTCATAAGGCTATCAGTTACCACGAGCGTCATCTACAAATTGCAAAAGAAGTGGGAGACAAAGCTGGAGAAGGACGGGCTTATGGAAATCTTGGCAATGCCTATCAGATGTTAGGCGATTTTCATAAGGCTATCAGTTACCACGAGCGTCATCTACAAATTGCAAAAGAAGTGGGAGACAAAGCTGGAGAAGGACGGGCTTATGGAAATCTTGGCAATGCCTATCAATGCCTATGGGATGCTTAGGCGATTTTCATAAGGCTATCAGTTACCACGAGCGTCATCTACAAAAAGCAAAAGAAGTGGGGGATAAAGCTGGAGAGAGACGGGCTTATGGAAGTCTTGGCAATGCCTATCATAGCTTAGGCGATTTTCATAAGGCTATCAGTTACCACGAGCGTCGTCTACAAATTGCAAAAGAAGTGGGGGACAAGGCTGGAGAAGGAGAGTCATACGGTAATCTTATCTTATACTCTTAATCAATGCATATCAGAGCTTTCGCGATTTTCATGACTCCAACCTAAAATTGTCCTGGCAAAATCAAAGGATAAAAGTTTGTTTGAGTGTTACATCTACATTATAAATTTCAAAGTTGAAAAATTCTCTTACCGCTCGACCTAGTCTGCCAAAGGATTCCACCTCCAATTTCTAGGATTTTTCAAAGCCGTTTTAAAATTTTAGAATCCCAGAGTTTTGCGACAAAAGAGAATTTTTGCCTCTGTAGTAAACTGATTTCAGTTCAGCTACACGCTGTTCGTAGCTTTTGCGATAATTAATCGACAAGTTTATCACGGTCTTGCTTATTTAATTAATTTTGTCCAGATTTTACTTGGGACAAATTTGTCGGCGATGTGTTTCACGATTTGTCGGCCTTGGCCAAAATTTGTCAAAATTTAGTGATGACGAAAAAATTGTTTTAAATAAACAACTTTTTCGTTAGTGCGGAAAGACCCCATGTTGAACAATTTTGGTTGAACAGATATTGGGAATTAAGTGGTAGTAAATGTCCGTTATATTGTATACTGAAACCAAACACCTCAAAATAATAATTTCCCCAGCCAAAGAGGAGGATGAGGTACCTTATTACACCGGCAGGAAAGATTTGGCAGATATAGAAGATGCAACAGTAGACACTGAAGACAATGAAAAGACTTTGATCAAAAGGTATGGGTTTTTCTGCAATGACTCAGTTTTTTGCCTTTCCCATGTTTTTTTTTGTCATGGATTCACAGACCATTGTAAAGAGCAGGGTTGGAGTTGCTAGGAGGTGTTAACTAATGGCAACTTTTGACAAAGTGCTCTGACTAAAGAACAACCCTCCGGACCTCTTTATAAATGACAGTTACTTTCTTTTATTTTATTTTCTTTTTAATCTTTAGTTAATAAAGTTCATGCTTAATAACTGTAATGCTATTAAAAATTTATTACATTCGTGCTCAAATCACTGGTGATCCTTGCAATCTGATTGGTTCTCATTGGCACGATTTATTGATAAAATGCACTATTTTTTGCTCTAAAGTGCATCGATTTCCCAGCTAATGAGAAAGCTCCACGAAAATACAGCAACAAATCAGATTTAACCGATTGTTTTAGGAAATCAATCAAATTGCAGAAAAAAAGAAAGACAACTTTTATAACATTTTACACACCAGCTCAGTACTGGATAAATAACATACATGTATTTGTACCGGCTTTAAAAAAATCTTTATTCATTTAGCAACTGAATTTTGCAAATTTAAAATAAATGTAATGAAGTGGTAATTGAACTTTTGCCATGCACTTTTGGTCTGAAATCATACTGGTGATTTCAAGTCTAATGCTGCTGCACAATCCTTTGATTCAGATGTCACGCGTATGATTTCAGAACAAAGTTTACTCCACCCAGTTCAATTACCATGTTCTACAGGTATTCCACATTTTTTTTCAGTGTTTCCATCAATAAAGGGGTACTTAATTATTATCAAAAATGATAGTGAATCATTTAAATAAATGTTTTGATTTATGATTATAACTTGAGGCTATTTGAGTCAAGGAAAAGCAAATTAATGGAAAAGAAAAGAAAAATAAAATAACATTTATTAGATCTAGTTTTGAAATTAAGTGTCAATATCTAAATGAGTTTTTCAAACTGCCAGTTTGCCACTTGCATTTTAAATACCTTTGTCATTGCTTACTCCACTTGGGAAAAATATCTTAAAATGCTGGATAATTAATTTCCTTTGTATTTCAGAGGAAAAATCGGAGGTAAGGAAGACTCATGGCACCTGAGGGAAGCTGGTGCCTCTATCAAACTTTGCAGTGGAGCTGTACAACAACCTGTGCCATTTACATGTAGATGCTTATTGTGGAACCCCAGGACCCTCTCCCCCTCCACTGCCAGTGATGAGATATTGGTTAGCAGTGTTATTGAAATATCTCATGATGGCCCACCAGATCTGGATTACAAGAAAAGTTTTGAAGGAATAAGTTTTACTGTATCTTTGCTGCACAGTGCCCCATATTTGGAGGGGTATGAGGTGGTTATCAAGCAACTGACTGACCAAGAGAACAATGAATGGAAGGAATTAAAGACACAGAATACTTGGCATGGATCAGGTAACGTTATGTTTTTATTAAATACAGGTGTGAATAACTTAATGAATGATCATGATATTCCTAGGCTCCCTTTTTCACTGGCATCAATGTCAGCATTTGAGAAATGTGCAGCTCCCCCTCTCCTAACCCAAAATTAAACCCAACTTGTAACCCGAACTTATCAGTTGACTTAAGGGAGAAGGAGTAGGTGTGCAATGACTTAGATGCGGACATCTATCCCTGCAATGCATGACCTGCTGCACTCATAATGTCAAAGTAGACTTCTTGCTTCTTCATAGGCATTTCAAATCCAACTTTAGAACTTTTTTTTCGTTTACCCTTTAGGTGTATCCAAGCAGTACGTGTAATTATTGCACAAATGTTACATGAAGTCTCCAATGCATTTTAATCACTATAATATAAATTTTCCTCAATAACCATGTTGTTGCAAACTTTATTCTTTGAAGCATAAATATCATAATGACATCTGTTGGGGGTAACTTTATTGTTTGAAGACTTCAAAACACAGCTGAAGGATGCATTTCCAATCATTTATTTTTATATGCAGAAACTTCAACAGTTCCCAAGTGGCTTTTCCCATTTGCACAAGCTGTTTGTACAAAATCAGCAGTTTCTTCATTTGCTGCAGTCTGGCGTCCTAAGTCTTTCACCTTTTCAAGAGGTACTGCAGGAGGCCCGGAATTGACCTGTATTGTGCCTGACCTTCCTGATGTCAGTGTCCAAATTCCTCAGAGTTGTGTTCCTGTTTATCAAGATTTCTGTGTGACAATCAAGGTGCATGGAACTATAAAATTATATACATGCATGAGTCCTGCAACTTTTTCATTTTCCAGTTTTGAAAGTCATAGGATTGGCGTGAGGGGATTGTCAAAAGCAAGGAGATAAAACAAAGGTGTTGCAATAGTATAACCTGTACCCTCAGTTACTTGCCATACACTCCATGAACTTGGTGGCAATATTCATGGAAAGAGAGATATTAATTAACAACTTTAAGCTAAAATAGAGGACAGTTGGGCTTGTGCTTGCATGTGTGTGAAGATACATGTGACAAAGTTATAATCAGCAGTTTTGGTAACTTCGAATTATTTGTGGTACTACTGTCCCCATGTGTACTCATGGATCCTGGGCATTCCCTTTTTAAAACTAGGTTTTGGAAAACTCATTCTAAGCAACAAACAGACTTTTGCTTCGATATAAATGTCAAATTGAAATCATTCCTGTCAGGTAAATTGGTTTGTATTGGTTTGCAATTAATGCAATTAGTGGATGAAGTTATGCATGATATCATGATGAATTAGCAAAACCAAGGTCTGAGTTATCTACGTAAGCCGAAGACAACACAGACATAAGGTTTGGTGAGTTATGACATCATGCAAAAACCAAATTAAATTATTGTTTTATTATACATCTTTTAAACAAATTACGAAAGAAGACATCTCTTTAAATTTGCAAAAGTTTAAGAATACTTCACAGACAGTCAGGGCTTGGAAACTAGGCAGAGGTTGAACTCGACATGATAACTGCAATATCTGCGGTAGATATTGGGTTATTATGTTAACTTCACTCTTTACTGTATATTGATTGAGTGCTCTTGACCAATCAGACTTTTTATATTAAGTCCAGTGTATACATTTTTTCATAATAATGCTTATATTACTACATAAAACTTTGAAAGGACATTTACATTGTGTACTATAATTTTAGATAATTTCAAAATTTCATCCTGAAATTCACTTTCCACAATGTAAAGCAAATTATCTTTATGCTGGGAGTGGTTTAACATGCCCAACAACTTGTTTTGCTTTTAAATCCAGGTACAAGAATTCCCAAGCAGTGAGCTAAAAGGAGAGGGAGGACTTGTCGGTCCAGTTATTTACATTTCAGGCTCTCAAAATGTTAGTCTCATCGCGCCTGTAACAATAAGGATTCCTCTCACCTTCCGTAAAGAAAAACAAGAGTTGGCAGAGTTACGTCCCGGTGAACTGAGGATATTACAATGTGAAGCACATGACTGGAAAGACATTACAGATAAATTAGATGAACCGCCACGTCTTGTAGATGGGAAAGTGCAATTTAAAGTTAGGCATTTCTCTGGGTAAGTATTTCTCGTCGGCTTTATTTGAAAAATAATACGCATGACGTAGAGGAAATTCAAACGTATTTTAGTGTACAGTCATACATACATGGATTTCTTTTAGTTAACTATAGATTCAATAATTGAAATGACCACTCGAGTACGTATATACTCAAGATTACTGTGCAATGGCTGATAATCGTTTCCATTGGATTGCTTGAGCTGTGTTTGATTTTTCCTTTTCTTTTTCGATAGATTCCGTCCAATCAAGTTGATGAGATCACTTTTACAATCTACTTCGGGCTTCACTGAGTTTGTAGGAAAACTTTGCTATAGGTCTAGGCCTCAGCATGCCCGATTTTTTACGTGCTTGTGTGAGACCGGTGTTCGTGGACATTTTAAACTCAAACTTTTTTGCTATCCTCAAAGACTGTATTATGATGTAATACGGAAAATATCGGAATGTGTCGTACCCTACAAAGACGAAGGCTGCTCTTCTAAACCAGTTTGTGGAGAGGAGAAAATTTTGGTGTCTCTTTCCGAGGCTATCATACCCCAGGGCACAGACCAAAAAAATGCCCTGCAGTTTGTGAGGTATAATATATTACAATTTATTTCTGGCCCATCAAGTACATATGATTTAATTGAATACTTCTAGGTTACGTCATGCTAGTTTTACATAGAAATGATTTATTCCTTCCATTGTAAAATTGTACATTGTTCAACTGTCAGTGAACCATTTTTCGCCATGGCTTTTCTAGGTTTCTTATCAATCAATAGGGCCATGGAGATATACATGTTGGTTTTTTTTCGGCTTTATTGCCTTCAAATGCTCGTTTTTAAATATTCAGTAGGGCTCTCGTTAAATGTGCTGTCATTTTCGGTTGTAAGAAAAGATTTCAAAACGTGTGCTTTTCTAGACGAAGACTCGGCTGGTGTACGTTAGGTTTGCCTCATTTAAATTCATTTCATTTTTAACAGATTCCACGAGAACAAAGTTTATTACACAGGTGGTGAAGTTTGCTTAGGAAGTGAGAGTGTTCCAGGAGTGAAGTTTTGCGACCAAAATCAGCAACTTTTGTGCAACATTATCATGGTATTAGCGTCTCAAGTAGGTGACATCTTACGGTTTGTGGATTTGCTAATTAAATGCACTTTTAGCCCAGAGCTAATATAGTACTGATGCCAACCTTACTATAGTAGATGACAATTAATTAAAAGGATTAGCAATGTTTTAACCACAGGCAGCCCAAGCTCCAGTTGTGAGATGATCATCTTGCGAAATAAGAGTCATGGCGAAAATTTTAGTTTGTGTTGGAATAATTACGACCGCTCTTAGGAAGTAAAAATACAGTCAAATTCTCAATAAAAATATCTCACCTTACTTCCAAAGTGCATTGCCTGTGGTCAGACCGCTTACTAAGATGAAAAGAAGCCATTTTAGCAAGTTCTCCATTTTTAGGTTTCTTTCTCCTAGGAGTAGTAAAGCTAGTTTCCGAGTAAGATAATGAGGTCATTTAAGGCGGCACGAAACTTATTAAGGACGAATCACTAGAAACAAAACACTGAGGAACGTCGAATAGGTAAAGAAATGTCCTGCCCACAGAAAACAGTACATGAACATGCAGGACCTTGCAAATTTTTTATTTTGATTTTGTGATTACTTTACTTTTCAGTTGCTTTAAAGTCCCTTTCTATGCCTCTGCCTTTTTTCTTAATTAATTTTCCTTTTTCTGATTAATTAGTAATTTTCTTTATTTCCTCATTTCTATTCATCACATACGCACCCGTAATATTGCAAATTTTCCTTCCTCCATTTAGGTTTCTATTCCTGTCACCTCTGACTTTGAAGAAGGAAGTGGTAAGTTGTTGTTTTTGTTGTAGGTTTCGTTGTTGTTTGAATAAATACAATTTACTGGACCATTCATCTTGTTCTAAAATATGTGATTCGAATAAATACAATTACTTAAGACCAGTCATCTTGTTCTAAAATATGTAAATTCAGAAATGTAGGCTTTATGGGTTTTGAGAATGTAGCTTTTAATGACAAAGCAGGTGTTCTCAACGGAAAGTCATAATAACCTGCCTTACTTCATGTGTTAATAAATCGGGCCGTGCCCCCCTCACGCTCAACAGTGATGGCTTATTGTCTCTGTTATGTATCAGTAAACTCAATGCAGACCACGGTGCGTGCGTCCCTCCTTGCAGGGAATTTGATGCTGAAAACGAATAAAACACAAAACGGCTTAGGAAAGACACAAAGAAGTGTAATTCTCCAGAAAATTATTCCGTTGGCTTTATCGTTAAAATGATGGAGTAACTCTGACAGTGATGAATCCTTTGCACCTGCTATTGCTTTTCAAATGAAATCTTGAATCGAATATTTTTCAATATAACTGCCCCCTTCGTCAAATTTGTCAATGCTCATTGTTACTTATAAGAGAAATCGACAAAACTTACCACTTTAATTTGTAAACGCCGGGTCTTACCCGAATGATCACAGTCCAGGATCACCACATCAACGTTTCCGAACCATCAGCGCCATAAAACTTGCATTAGTTCTCAAGCCAGCCATCTAATTAACCCCATTATTCCGCAGGTATCTCCTCCCAAAGTGTGAAACATTCAATCGTAAAGCATCCAAATTCTGAATCATCGTCATGCAGCCCTGTTGCAGCTCCTAGGAAGAAGATACACCAATCTACAGGTAGTACCGAGATTGAAAATGTCGCGATGGATTTTCCTTTTTAATTGTATTTTTTTTCAAGTTTGCATGTTGTTTACACGCGTTTATGTATGGTAAAATTTGTTTATGCAGAAAGACTGGCATTATATTTCTTAGACATCCTCTTTACCCACTTATATAAGAGAATAAAAAATAATGAATTAAAAGTGGGCTCTATCATTAATCCAACACCCGTGTATCTTGAACAACATTAACCTATTCCAGCATTAACTGCTGGAGACTATAGCTAGGAGACGTTAATGACCTCCATTTTCAAGATGCTTGTCGGGCCATACGCGAATAAGAGGTCAGAAATAGATAATGAGTCTGGAAAATTTCCTAAGCGTTTTTATTTTTTTTATGTATGGGTTGGGAAAATGGTTCCCCTGCCGCTGCAAATGTATCCTCGCTCAAGCTTGACAATCTTTAGGGCAGACGATTCGGTATTGAATGATACCAAAAGGTGAGAAGTCGCCTTTCGCCACAACTGTTCGCTATTCGCCAAAGCCTTGAAGCATCCCTTTTCAAATTTTTTTATTCTCCTTCCGTTGTTATCCTCAGGTTTGGTTTGTTATCCTCATTTGGTTAAAGATGGTGAACCATCAGATGAGGAGTTGGAATGTCTGTCCAGGGAACTTGCAGGAAAATGGAAGACATTAGGAAGACGCCTGGGATTCAACGAAGCTGCAATAGATGACTTTGAACAAGCCAATAAGGAAGCTGGCAACGAGCAATAGATGACTTTGAACAGGCTTATAAAATGTTAATGGCTTGGAAACAAAAAGGAGGCTGCGAAGCTACTTACAAAGTTTTGTACGATACCTTGTGTCACAAATTGGTGGAATGTAAACGTTTAGCAGAGCAGTATTGTTGCGATGACTCTCCTTAGTCATATACGATAGAGACTGAGTCGTTTCTGTATTACGTCAAATATCTTTGCGATTACTCTAAAGAGCGTCTGTGTCGAGCATTCGCGCTTAGTAAGTCGTTCCTTTTCCTTGCGATTCAAGATAGGGGAAAGATTATCTCTTAAAAAAAAAAACATATTTACCCGTATTTTTGCACTCAAGAACCGTAAAGAACACTAAGGTCGGAATTCACTCAGACGTCCAGAACGACAGAGCTGAATAACGTCCAGAACATGTGAAGCACATTACTACCCTCAAGCATCTTACTTCATACTTCACAGCTTGAAATTAGAATGTATTTTCTCCTCATTATTCTCTGTGCATTTCCTAAGGAACAAACAAAGAGAATTGGTTTAACAGTTAAGAGCTTCTTAAGTTAGTGATCAGTTACTATATTCTCGTGTTCTTAATTTTTGATTTAGGTTGACACTGTAAGGAAAATTTAGATGCTAGGCACTATTTGAGTTGAATTAATCGTTTGTGGTTAGCTTGAATTAACAGAATAATTTTGTAAAGAGTGAGATTCCCCTTTTCTCAGTGTGGTGGATAAGTATAAAACGTGTAACGGCCTTAGATTATAAAATTTGTAGATGCCGAGCTACCTTTTTGTTCTTAAAAAGTGTGAAAGTTCAGCAAAAATCAAATACAAAATGTCTCTTTCTCAGGTCTAACTCCCATGATTCTTTGTGGTTTATAGAGGTTTCGCCCCATTGAAAGTTCAACAACAAGTTCACCCCTGCTTCGACGAGTGGTCCTCGTCAAATATTATATAGATTTATATAGCCAACCCTAAAAGCGGAGTTCCAGTCAGTTTATTGTCCAGCCCTTCAACTTCTAAAAATTCCTATGCACTGGCTCTCGAAGAGTTAACGAGATGTGGAACGGAAGGAAGATGTTCTCAAAACTTGCAAAGTGATCAACATATCAATATGCGTGAAACAATGTGCCAGGATCGTACTTAGCATCTCTTATACCTTCTACGCTAGCCTCTATGAAATTCTATCCTGGAAACTGGAGTTGCGGCAACATCACGGTTACCATGAAAAACAAAAATACATTTTATTGACCTGAAAAAGTATTCATTTAACCATCAACTAAGACTTTCACTGGTTCACTCTGACAAAATTTTAATATGAGAGGTTTTAAAAGGCTTGGGTATTTGTTAAAATTAGCCAACTTGATGCAACAACTCAGGTTATACATTGAATGCACCTTTTTTAACATTTTTTCATCAATGCAGTTACCTGCTGGCAAAACATAATAATATATTTCAACGCAACCATTTTCTTGTGAACACCATTACGAAATAATTATGCCGGTACCCTGGCTAAATAGAAAAATGTGTAGTATATACAAAATGTCTGAAAAACCTCCTTCAGACTAAGCGAACGGCATTGAGAAACGTGTATAAGGGAGCAGGGTGGCTTGTTTCTGTCATTCATTTGCTTCTCGCACCTGTTGCAGACTAGTTCATGAGGCTGGGCTATCAGGGCGAGGGACTGAGGATTTTAGCAAGCCATTAGATTTAAGGGAAATTTTAATGAGGAAAGTGACTTTTCTGGAGCCTGGAAAATATCAAAGTGTAAAGCCATACAGGTACTAGCAAACTCATTCCTATAAACTAGTACGAGGAAGGATACAATATTTTACTTCATAGATTTGATTCACAGGCTGTGCACAAAAATTTAATTGGGCTATTCGAACTAAAATCCCTAAGAAATGATAAAACGTAGCCGGGTTAACACTGAAGTCGCCTCTAGCGCTCAAGTCGTTGTTTTCAAATGTCGGTTTTTTTTTCCGAATACAACAACGTGTATGGTATAGAGGCCAATCTCTTAGACAATAGCTCCGTTGAGATCGTTGTAAAGATGCTTGCGGCAAGGATGCGTTATTTCCAGAAATAGAAGAAAAGGTCGGAGTTTGCCCCAGATGGCCAATACGGAGACGGGCTTAAAACAACAGATATCAACGTCGCGATATTGTGACGAGTCGTTCATAAATTTAACAACCGGGCAAACGAAGTCAGGTTGAAAAGTTTTTTGCCACACAAGCATTGCACGCCAAGTTTACTGCAATCGTGGCAATTATTCGATGGACCATGCCTTTAGAAAAAGTTTTCCATCTGCCAAAACCTTGTTTCAATTTTTTTTTTCCGGTTTTGCTTCAGTACAGGCGGAATCCTGCTGTGAGGAGACTAAATTTGGCAACTAATTGACAACTGACAAAACTTAAAAAAATCAACCATTCATAATTTTTTTCGTCCTTAAGTTTCCTACATTTTGGTTTTGGCAGAATTTTGTAAGCGTGTTTAAGAAGGCTCTAAGGGCTGTTTGTTTCATACTCTGCTAGTACATATCACAAAGACAAGTGATTCCCAACTTCCGGTTGTAGCCCAATTCATTTCCGCTTTGTTGCTTCCAGCCAAGTTGAGCATACTACTCAAATTACTTTGGATACATTGTGCGTGGTTAAAGATGGCGGACAAAGGGGAATGAAATTTACCTGACATAATGAGCTTAAAGGGAAAAGATTACTGAAGAATCTCAGGTTTGGCGAAGCCTCTTGCTGACTGCAAAATAGAGGTAAGATTTTAGTCGACTCATCGTGTTCACTAGGCTGAAGTAGTACGTGTAGTTAACAGCTTATCAACATTTGCTGAGCAAGTCTCCAACATCTTGCAGTTCCCTTCAGTCTATAATTTTCCCCTTCACATGCATACCTACTTCTTGATATATACTGATGATAAGATATTACCCAATATATCTGTCTTGAAGAGTTGTCTAATTTTGGCTGCCTGAAATTCTGATTTTTTTGGCTCAGTATATAATGGATGACAACCCAATTGGTAGCCTTTGAAAACCTGTGTCTTTGTTGGAGAAAAGAATGCTCATGCCTGAGAGGTTTATTTCATAAATTATATTACAGCTGCCCTCTTTTATGTCTATTATACTTCAAATGTTTTTCAACACATAAGAAAAATGTTTATGAACAGACTACTGTTTATGGTGTGTCAGTGTTCTCTGAAATGATTTTGTGAACAAAAGAAACATTTTCCTTCTATAGCAATGCTCTTCATCTTGAATCAAATCTTAAACACAGAGTTTTCCATATAAGATGTAAGGTTTGAAAATTGGGGAATATCACTTGAGGTATATTCTTGCATATATCCCCCAGTTTTAGCTAGGGGATACTCCGTCATGTGATGGGTTTAGACCAATGGCCCACAAGCAAATAATTGTATTTGTTGGATTATAAAGGAATTTATAGATCAAGAATAATTTTTTATAAAAGCAAGGTAGTAAGATTTTAAAATATGAAAAAAGAAGGAAAAAAAAAACAGAGAGAAAGAAAGAAACTTCTGCAAAATACAAGAGACCAAATTGCTATTTTTGTCTCTGATTGGTTGATTATAGTGTTAGTATTTAAGCAAATCACAGACCAGACAAATCACAGGGTCATGGAAAAGCAAAGAAATATTACATTGTTTTTAGGCTCCATCAATGTTATAAATAGCACTGTGTAGGACAAGTAAAATGATTAATATAGTGTTCAGATCTGTCCCAAATTGTCTCGTCTTATCCAACTACCTGAAATCTTGATCCTTTTAGTTCTGAGATCTGAGAGTTGATCCACTCAACTAAAAACCTGACATAGTTTGTTTTCAACATTGCTGAGAATATGTATGAGATTGTGTTAATGCTGAAACAAAAATTTGTCAAGTTTTTTTAGATATTTTATTTCCTTTATGGTTTTTATTTTATTTGTTTTTCAGGCCCTTCTTTATGCATGCTGTGTATCCCAGAAAGACAACATTACCAAACATACCTGTGAGACAAGCAGTAGGTTTCCTGGTCAAATGATCAGGTGCTCTTTTCTTTCTGTGTTTAATTAGCTTTGATACCATGTTTGATTTAAAACCACAAACTCAATTATTATCATAACAAGATAGTCAAAGGGGGGGCACAAAAGTGTCCTGTCAGGGATGGCGGAGACTTCATGTTGCTTGACAGTAGTATATCTTGTACTTGGTGACAGATGTTTAGAATATTTTTAGCCATCAAGAGATAAAGCACAATTTAATTACAGGAATTCATTGACTTTTATTCTGATTATCACCTGGCAACAACCAATTACATTAACTAATTTACTAGCATAAAACCCATAATAAATCAAGTGTTCTTTTCCATGTGATAAAAGTAGCTCTTGCACATCTGTTGTTCTGAGTGATTTACTACAAAAGTGAGCCAAGTGATTAAATAGTTAGACAAACAGCTTTACTAATTGTTTCTTAACCCTTTAACCCCCAAGATCTTAATGTTAATTCTCCCCTCTAGCTGCTACACATGTCCTTGCAAATTAGGTACAAGAATTTGGTGTTAGATCAAGAAAGTGACTTTTACCTGAGAAATTTGAAAATTCTCATCACCTGTTTGCTAGATATATGTATGGATATTTTAGGGAGAAGTTTCATGCTAACCACTTCTGGGAGTTAAAGGGTTAAGTGTAGTTCAGCAAACCCCAGTGAATAGGGCTAAGTTCTCAACAAAGAGTGGGGTGATATAAAAAGGAAGCCTTGGTTTTTTGAGTTTAATGCATTCTTTGCCATACTTTTCCAGAGTTTGTTTTACTTCAAACTTTGTTAATGACTGGCTTCAAGGGAAAAAGTTAGTTTTCTTTTCCTAAGACTCTCAAATGTTCCTTGAGCTGAGAACAAAGGGAAAAATTTAAGGGTCAAATAAAAAGTGGTTTTTGAGTTGGGAGGTATGATATCATGATTTTAAACAATTTAAAAGTAATTTTGAGTACTTACATACTTAAACATGTTCTCTCAAACTCTAATATATACTCTCAAATTAGTCAGCTTTAATCAGGTTCATACTTTTATCATGCAGTGGGTACTGTCCTACAGTGAGAGAGAGATGGGGTTTAACATTTCATTGTCAAATTGTTGGTGTCCTTTTCTGTTAATTTCTCCCCAATTTATTTTACTGTCATCAGCAAAAATTAGTGACTTGAGATAAGAGATCTACTTAAATTCAAATACTACCTTTAAAGTAATCTAATGATAATCATTATATACTGAAACAAAATATGTTTCATTCCTGATTGGTCTAGTGTAAATGAATTGAAAAATAAGTTACTAAGGTACTTGATATAACCTGTAACTGAAGTTACAGGTTTTCCATACTACACACTGGCTTGAAATTAAAGCTTCTAGGGATAACTTAACAACACTAAACTTTTTCGTAGTTAGAAAAAAAATTACAATTTGAAGTGTCCATCACCCTCTGCCTTCTAAGAATGATCAAATCAAACATAATTTAGGGTGTGAAATAAATTTTTTTTTCTGATAGCCACTTGGCTCCTAAATTCTTCAAAGTGGTAGCCAATTCAAAAAAAGTTGTTCACCATTTTCAAAGACAATCAAAACCTTTTTTTTACGCTGTCATCGTTCTAGAAAATAAGTTAGGGAAAAGATCTTTAACGTGCTACAAAGGGAACACTAGAATGTATGATATGCAATGTTCAAGCTCACCTAAATCCAAGATGGTGTCTAGTTATCGATTGAGATGCATGTGCTGCATTTTGGAAACAAACTTAACGAGGAAGTTTGCCGCGGATTTATCAGTCGCCAATTTGGTGACTAATTTTCAGGATTTGGTCGCCAAAGTAAAAAATTTGGTTGTATTGGTGCCTGTATTAGGCAAAATTTCATGCCCTGTAATTATCTTAAGGAATTTTCCAACTAGTTGAAAATGTTTTGAGAAATGTGCACCAGGAATGTACAAAGAGCAGTATTTTAAAAAGATTTTGTTTAGAACTTATCATACATAAAAATGCATAAACAGCTGTTGCATTTAAAAATTTATGGTTTCTCATAATTTTTTACAAAAGGTTTCCAAAAAGCTCTGCAGTGGCTTGTGCAATTACCAATGCTATCTAAACATCACTCATGCCTTTGAATTAAGAAATGTACTTTTGGTATTTATCCGAATCACATACGACTTTATACACGATGATAGTTATACTGAAGCAGGTTGTTTGGGGAAGCTCATGGGATTTCCCTTACAAATACATGTAAGATTAAATTAGATTCATAGAATTTAGCAATAGAAAAAAAGAAACAAATTTCATGATATTTGGAAGATGATGCTCATGTAACTGTTAGGCTGTTAGACACATTTTATCTGCACCCTGTGCTCACATGTGCCAATTCCTGCAAGAACACACTGTCAGCAAAGGAAATCATAAAAGCACAATGATATTATAGAATCCTTCATACATACACATGCATTTGGTATTGTCTGTTTTAACCCTTTACATTCTAACATTGATACATATGCATATTCTCCATTCTCCAGAGGAATTTGTTCAACAATCAAGACCTTTTTTTGTTAGTGATCATGTCCTCTATTCAGTCTCACGATAAAAATGATAACAGGTTTCTTATTTTGGGAAAATTTGTCGGTTTAATTTACCTTCGGACAATCATGAAAATGACAATGATCTAACCAAGATAAACACAGGAGTCAGATTTACCCACTGAATAAATATAGGGGTCCGAGGAACGTAACCACAAAGTAAGGCAAAGACCTTGACAAGTGGTCGCGTGACAGTTATGAAATTTCATTTCTGTTGTCAAGGTCATGTGATTATTTTAATTGTGCGAATGTCACGATTACATACTCAAATTCTAGGAACCAAACGAGGTGATGAATCTATGCATTTCCTAATGTTCTGACAAGAGGAATTTGTTCAACAATTAAGACCTTTTTTTGTTAGTGATCATGTCCTCTATTCAGTATCACGATAAAAATGATAATTTAGGGATAATATTGCAAGGAGAAAATGGTTGCTTGTCACTATTTGAGGTTAAAGGTTCAGGGAAAGTTAATGTTTAAACAGTAGAAAACCTGGTGTGCCTGGCCTTTTTTTTCCTCTGGGACAAGTTGTAAGTAAAATAGGGATTCTTATCAATAAAAAATTTGTCATGTATTTAATTTTTTTATCTCTCTGAAGTTTCCCTCTTGTTTGATGATGTATTTTTGTTGCAGGCAAAGAAAATTTAATTGTAGAAACTTGAAAAGAGACAACTACACCTGTTGCAGCAAAGTTCAGAGACAAAAAATGCTACAGGAGACCCACTCACTTTTTGTCTGGGATGAAAAATGTAGTGAGGAGACTTATGAGCTTGTGGAAACTTAAAAGATTACTACTAATACAAAATATATGATACTTACATGGCATACTGAGTATGTTGTGTCCTGTGTACATTTCATTTAAATAATGAGATTGTATTTGAAAACTGAAATAGAAGCTAAAATGCTGGGCAGTTGAACCCATGAAGCACAGAAAGATCAGTCATTAAAAAGAGTACTGGGCATATGATCATAAAAAAGTCAAGTTTTATCTTAGTTTGATGGCTTGTTATTGAACCTGTGCATTCTAATTATGTCACTTGCTAACTGTAATCTGAAATCCACAAGTTGTAATATTTCTGCCTCAGTGTCCCCATCTTCTGTCCCTGAGATGTCAAAATGGCAGTTGCACTGTGTGATGCTGATAAGGATTTGTTATATCCTATTGTGGCTCCCTTTTCTAAGCTTTTGGAAAGATTATCTAATAAACTAAAAATATCCATGGTTTATTTCACCTCAGTTGGTTTTTGTAACAGAAAGGAGTACAATAATCCAGTTATACCCTAACACACCACAGGAAGCCCAAGCTTCTATATTAACACTCTGTTTATATATAAATACTGCAAAGATATGAACACTGTAAACTGCTGCTTACAAGCCCCCAACCCCCATATATGAGCCGCCGCCGCCGGCCCCCCCCCCCCGGGTTAAATGCCAATCTACCTTTGGACAAAAAGAAATTATAAAATGTAAAAGAAAAATATTTAATACTAGGAGAAAGATGAACTTCAAGGGGGAAGTCTAAACCTCAGTTTTGTTATCTTACAGTTTTGCTCGTGTTGCTAGTTTTTTTTTTTTTTAATTCTGTTTCAAATGTATTGAAACGAGTTTGAGTTATTTTGACGTTTTGAAGCTTAATTAAAATCCAATAATTGCAAAACGTATTTGATCAGCGCTCAGCATCTTTCGCTTCGTCTATTACTTTCACAAGTCCCCTCGGATATAAGCCCCTGCGTTTATAGGCCCCCTCGGACATAGGACCCTCCGTTTATAAGCCCCCTCGGATATAGGCCCCTCCGTTTAAAACCTCTTCCTAAACCTCTTATGAAGTTGCATAATCACCGAGCTTGTAATCGTTAGGTTTCGGCATATTTGTTTTGTGGAACTTCAAGAATTGGAATAGTGACATTCTCAACTTGAAAGTTTGATTCCGTTTTTATTAAAAAAAAAGATAACACAGCTTTTTTTCGAATTTTCAAGGCTACTTTGCGGCTGATTAGCTCGCTGTTGAGAGAGGCAAGAGAGAGAACTGAAAACTACTTATGCGGCCGTAAATCAGCTTTAAAAAAACTCTCAAAATTCAAACGAGTAAACAATATAGAGGCAAGTAAAGTTCTTTGTTCAAAAGTATTTCAAATTTCTGGGTTAAGTATGCAACAGTTTATTCTCAGACAAATCCTCGTATTTCGCTCGTCGGCTAAAGTAATAATCATATTTGCATAGTTATGAAGGCTAACTGTGCGAGCCTGGGCTGCCTGTGGGCTCAGTCAGGCATTCAGCGAAGAACTTAAAAACAAGAAAAGGGCGGAATTACCCAAAATGCGCCATTTATTTTTAATAGTGGGGAGGGGGCAGGGCTGATGTTGGCCTTGATTTTCTTCATGCTCTTGGTTAATGGAAATGAGCGAAAAAGTTGCCGTGGGATCAGGAACTTTAACTCGCCCGGTTCTTCGCTTGTCTCTAATCCACTGACTCAGAGTCGCAAACAGGTTTCTTATTTTGGGAAAATTTGTCGGTTTAACTTACCTTCGGACAATCATGAAAATGACAACGATCTAACCAAGATAAACACAGGAATCAAATTTACCCACTGAATAAATATAGGGGTCCGAGGAACGTAACCACAAAGTAAGGCAAAGACCTCGACAAGTGGTCGCGTGACAGTTATGAAATTTGATTTCCGTTGTCAAGGTCATGCGATTATTTTAATTGTGCGAATGTCACGATTACATACTCAAATTTCAGGAACCAAACGAGGCGATTAATCGACCTCCCGCCTCTCGTCTCGTCGAATTTCTCGTTTGTAAAAGTGCTCTGCAGTTATCTATAAATCATTTAGTTTCACACCTCTGCCGAAGGAAAGGAACTTTAGCTGTAGGTGAATCTTCCCACGAGATTTGAGTAACAGATTGGTTGAATCCTAACCTCTGTGTTCCAGGTAAGACTAGGTGAAGCGATTTAGAAGATGTTTTGATAACAGTCGTTGTTTGTAATGCCCCGAGTTGTAAATATGCCTCAAATAACCTGCTTCAGTACAACTATCATCGTGTACATAGTCGTATGTGATTCTGTTAAATAGCAAAAGTGAAGCAAGACCAAGGTTAATAGAATCTGAATATAACTTAAGGGTCCAGGATGTTGGATAAACATTCGAGCGCGGGGTCGTTAGCTTTTGTTTACTCGGAAATGTCGATAAGAAACTTCAGAACACTTAAACTATTGAAAGATTTGGATTCCAGCAGCTAAATTTAACGAATTCTGCAAAAGTAAATTCGATAAACGCAGGTTACTATTTTTTGCTGTTTTTGTCGGCTGTATATAGGTTAATTATTCTGCGGAGTTGGATGGTTACCATAATTTTGGATCTCTTCGTGATATTCCGGAACCTTGGCTTTTGAAATAAGAGCAACCTTGCTTTGCAGTAAGACCTGTATCTATAAGTTCACAACCATGTTTCATTATGCACGAGTTGGCCATGATTCTTTGATTAGATAAAGGGAAATTTGCCGAAGGTTGCTTGTCTTTATAAATCTACCGCTTTAATCTGTCTCTTATCGGCTGTTAATCATGTCTAACGCAGCTAAGTGTGTTTCACATTGTGTAGAAGTTCGTGATTTGATTTGATCATTTAGACAGTCACATTGACTCGTATTGAAGTTTACGCATTCACTCGGTTTTAAAAATATTTCACCATGGTTACGGTTATAGCAATGGGTAAATACAACCAAAGAAGCCGGGTAAAACTCCCAAAACACCACAATCGAGAGAGCATCCCTCTTTCTGTCTCTGGAATATTGATTATGTGATCAAAGTCATGAGTTTCATTTTCACTTTCACTTAACGAAGAGAAATTCCCTTTGCTCCCGGTCGCTTTCAGCAAGGAATTATTTTCCCTTTTTATACCAAACGTCTATTCAAATTGAGTCGCAGCTAAATTCTTTAATTTGAACTTAAGATTGTCATGCAAGACATAAATTATCACGGAAAGAAGCTCATTAGAGATTAAGGTGTGTAAAGAAACCTCCGATTTTTTCTTTTGTATTGTGGCTTGTTTAACTTGAACTTCAACTGATAAGTTTGGAAAATGAACTGATCGCTGAAGCGCTCGGGAAAGACAAATAATATTTTCTTTTGTGTTCTTTTTTAGCTATGGAGGTTCCTCAAGGCAAGACAGATCAAGATCGTGAACAAGACAGCTCTCCAGGTTTGAAAACACTGAATATGAACATTAGTACTATTCTACAATAAAATATTTCATGCTTAGAGTAGAGCTACCACATATTGCAAGTTTACTGTAAATATTGATCATGACCTTAAATTTTGTTTGAAAGTAAAATTAGTACAACGACACGAGGATGGAGAAACATGAAACTTAATCGTGCTGAAAATATTGCGTGGCTTTCAGAGCTGTTAATTAGAGCCTAACCGGAAAAATAAAACTGCGGGCTAGTCTGCCATCTTTTGGTGGATATTTTCACCTCATTTTGCTTAAAGAAATGTATCACTAGCCAGGAACAGGGTTATACCCCATTCAAAACAAAGCTTAAGTGTGTCCACGAGAGCACCAGGCAGTCGTGCTACATACCGTCTCATCGATTTCAGTGAAATTTGGCCAGTTTAAAGGATCTACCCCAAAACTCAAAAAGACAAATTGGTTTCTGTTTTGGTTTTTTCCGGGGAGAGATAGACAACCCCCCGCTTTTTCTTGGTTTTCACCAGGGAAATCACTTCAAAGTATGTGAGATGTATGAAGCTTTCACTGCCATGGTATTTAACCAATTACTCTGAGGGTTTGCACACATATTATTACATCCTTAGTAAATGTCCGACGCAAGTATCAGTCAATTTGATTGACGGCTTATCAATCAACAGAAGCAAATAAACGACTGTGTTCTTAGACCTTTCTTTTCGATTGATCCAAATATTAACAACTTTGGGGTCAAATATCTCCCCTTGCCAGAAAGCTACAACACTAATCTTAATTTCTCCTTATAATCCATCATTTCATCTCTGAAAACCATCAAAAAAAATCTCCAGGCACTACCGTATTTTTGTGTTAAATGCCTGGATTTTAAAGTCACACGCTGAGTGTTGGTTGACATTATCACAAATTCCAGTGTGCTACAACTTCGGCTTTTACAGACGAGAAATTCTGCGCTCTCGCTCGAGAGCAAATATCAATAGCTCCATCAAACTAGAAACTGTGCTACTATCCCGAAAATAACATTAAAATAGTGTTGACGTTGTCACTTACCGCCATCGAACATTTCCATGCAGAACTCCGCCAAACTAACATCTGTTGCGTGACCCGTAGACTTTCCGTAGGAATTATTCAAGCGCGTTGTTCATGCTTTCTGCTAAATAAAAATTTCAGAATAATCTGCAGATCTCTGCGATTATTTCCTTGCTTCTATCGTAAAATACAGTATTTTTTTAAAGCATTTTATGGCTACATATAAAAATAAAGTTTTTAACATTATGTATGGCAAAGTTTGGTTGGACGGCGACTTCTTTGTTCGAAATATGGACGCCAGCGTGGAGCTCCGACATTACATGTCTCTTTTACAAAGGAAATTTTTCTTTTCTTTACAGAATGGTACTCTTTCTTTCTTCTTTGGGCCATTTTTTTCTTTTTTCTTTTTTTTTTTACTAAGGACTTTTTTCCGCTCTTGATTTTTCCGTTGGCAGAGATTTTTCCACAAGCAAAGAGCTTCTACGAGTGATTTTTTTAAAGTGCGCGATGTAAACAAGATATAGGATTACATTTAAGTGAAAATCGAGCCTCAACGTGAGCGGTTGCCGCGAAACTCGCCCAGGGGATGCGCCCAGGTCCGAGATTATGACACCTTCCTAATTTATTAACTTTCATTTAAAAATACGTTTTTCGAAATAAATCGGTTGCTTTTAGTTTGCTCTCGGTTGCGGAAGTTGCGATCAATTGATAAGTCTGCTTTTGCGGATGAAATCTGTAACAGCGAGCTTCTTCAAACGGATACTGAAGATCCTGACGAGCTGGCCGCCTTATTTACATTGCGTTCCCTGCTGGATCGGCACGCTCCTGCACTTAAGCAAAAGATTACTATTAGATCTCGTGTTCCATGGATGAATGATGAAATTATACTGGCTAAACGTCAACGGAGGAAAGCTGAAAGGAAATGGAGGGCTTCTAAAGCACACATCGATTTACTATCCTATCGCGTAAATGAGAAAT